TGCATTTCTTACTATCATTTATTCAATGAATACCTATTTGATTAAATACTTTCCAAATTTATGGCTACTGGATTGACACTGAAGGAGAAAGCAGAAACTTAGCCTGGGGTTGGAGAAGGTAAGAAATGCATGCAAACTACACATTTTCAACATGAGAGGCACAGACAATGCAAATTAGCAGAGGTGGTGATCTCAGAGCAGTGATTTGACACACCAGAGCTCTGTCCAAATCCCCTTTCCTTAATGAAGCCATCTTCTCCTACCTTCTCCTTCTTTTTTTTTCTCCTCTTTCTTTTTTTTCTGTTCCAAAACACAACTTCCATTAATATTTGGGCTACAGAAATCAGGCCAGGGTCTACAGACTGGTGGAATCTACTCTCAGCTTGAAAGGCTTAAGTAGGGAGGTCTTTGCTTAGGGAAATGTCTTTTCCCCCATGCCCCATCTACCTGGCTACCTCCTACACACCTTCTAAGGCTTCTCTTAAGCCTTGTCTCCTCTGTGAGTGCTTCCCTGGACAATCATTTTGGGGTAGAAATGGGGAATCTATCTATCTATCTATCTATCTATCTATCTATCTATCTATCTATCATCTATCATCTATCTATCTAAAAGCCTAAGCAACTGAATGACTGAATGACTGGCCAACCAGTTCCTATGATGTGCATTGACCACCCGCGGGTAGATGCTCAATGCAAGAGCTGATCTCTGGTGGTCAGTGCACTCCTGCAGTCAACCTCCCATGACCGGCCAAGTTCCTGCAGTTGGCCAACCTCCTGGGGTCCCTCCTTCTGGCTCCCCCCGCCCCCTTCTCAATCAGGCCTGTGCATGAATTCTTCCTGCACTGGGCCTCTAGTACATAATATAATGATTTGAAAATAATAAAAACATAAATATTCTTTATTCTGCTTTCAGATTTCTTAGTGGTTATGCCTCCCCAATAGCCTCTATGTTTCTCTCTTTTCCATCATGGTTAGTCTCTTATTTCTCTTGGTGTAGAATTCCTGGGAGAGGACGGTAAAGAATAATCAGGCTGTCAGGCTAGAGGAAATAATAATGTCATTAGTAAGAAGTGATGTTCAGCATCACAAAGAATGGGTACCTGGCTGGAAATGGTGGGAAATGGGATTGTATAGGAACATTAGTCAGAAGGTACTTCTGTATTGCACCTTATAGCTACTTCCATCAGATCACTTATCACTTTACTTTGTCATTCTCTGTCTGCATCTCTGTATAGATTCCAGACTTGAGGGCAGACAGAGATTCTATTCATCTTTGAGACCTCAAGCATAGTAAATACCATTGATTTTCCATGGCCACTAAAGAAGTTCATTGACTCTTCTATTTCAACTGATCTATCTGCAGGTTCTATCCAACTCAGAAATGGGGATACAAAGACCTGGAGAAACCTTGCCTAACCTGATTACTCACACCTTTATGTTAGGGATGACCCTTTGAGTTTGCCACTTTTCCACTGTACATGCCCTCTCAGCCTTTCCTATAACTGATCCCCACAGTTCACTAAATGGTTCACTGGAATTAAGCTAATTTGGGAGGCTTATTTTAAAGAAGGCTGGAAAACAATTCAGATTTGAAGTTAAATCATTGGGCGTTTGCTCTTCATTCTCCAGCTTCTCAGTGGCACACCTCTGAGTGACACAAGCTAATGTTGGAGGATGTCAGGTGTTAGGAAGCTCTGGTAAACTTAACCATCTGCATTTTGTGTTCTTCTGAAATGCTTACATTGTCTACTTCCTCCTGGGGTTCGATGTAGTGTTGATAAAAGAAGGAAGCCCTGCGGTCACATCACATCTTCATGCATGTCTGTTACACCTGAGGAGAAAGACCTGATGACTTAACCCTTCACTAGGAGAAAGATAGACCTTAATGGGGAAACTTACTTCTCCCATCTGTTTATTCATTCCGCATTCCTTGTTTGAACACTCTGTGAAAGGCACTGTGATAGGTGCTGGGCTAAAAGGGTAAAAGATGTGGTATCCATTTTAAAAGTCCATGAGGGCAAATTATTTCTCTGATTGCAGTGACAACGTAGTCCAGGGGGGAGCAAACCATTTCTATAAAGGGCCAGATGGTAAATATTTTAGATTTTTACTTATTTATTTATGGCTATCAGGTCACTGATAACCACTCAATTCTGCCACCAAAGCAGCCATAGATAATTCATAAACTAATAGGTATGGATGTCTTCCAATAACAATGTATTTAAGATAGTGAAATGTAAATTTCATGAAATTTGCATATATCATATAATATTATTCTTTTGATTTTTTTCCAACCATTTACAACTGTAGCAACCCTTCTTAGCTTGTGCACTATACAAAAAAGAGGCAGGGGGCTGAGTTTGGCGCTTGGGCCATAATTTCCAAGCCCTGCAGTCACTGGTTGGTTAGATGTGTGTGTGATTCCTAAGTCCAGACTTTTTTCAGTCAAAGCAAAGGTCCAAATAGCATCATAGGAATAATCCTTGTCTTTTCTACTCTCCTACCTCTATTCATCTCCTGTCCTCCAAATCCCAACACCACAGGTCTTTCTACAAAACAGAATTCATGATACTACCAAGGATATCCGGGGACTTGTTTTCCTGTGAGAAAATGAAAACGATTCCAATGACTATTTGGTCTCTAAAACAGTTTAATTTAGTATTTTTTTTTTTCTTTCCCTCTCTCCATACTAGAAATTAACATAAAAATTCCTTCTGGCTAAATTACCAATACATTTTCACAGTGAACATTTTCTGAAGTGAAAATTAGTAGCTTTCTTGCAGTTTTCATCAGGGATGTGAAATCGTGCAGCTCACAGGGGTGAAAAACTCAAGCCCCATTTATGAATTAATGCATGCTGCTGAGGGTATCTCGCTGGCTTCCTAGTGCCAGGAATTCATTTCTACAGGATCCTGAGCAGCTAAACAGTGTGTTTTAATTTGCTTCTTCATTCCACCAGTGAGAGAATGCCATTTCCTATTTGCACAAATGAATTAATGTGTAACAATTGGTACCTATATAAGATTATATTATTTACACCATCCTTAGGGGTTTGGCAACACTTGGGCAAATTATAATGTCTCTCCCTAGTCCCTCCTCCCTCCATCCCCATCTTTATCCAGGTGAAACCTAGAAACAGTGAGCATGAAGGACACCTGAAATGGGAATCAGGAGGCTGTGGGGTTGAGCATTTATGGAAGAGGGAGCCCAAGTCCTATTTATGCATACACAATGATTAAGTACTTATAGGGCTTCCTTGTTTAAGCTTAAGATGCACCTTCCTTCTTTGACAACCTCTGCCTCTCTCTAGTTCTAGCCAGCTGGTCCCTGAATCAGCCTGAGCCCTCAATCTCAGAACTTAAGATATTGGCCAGACCTGCCCTCCCCCCCCCCCCCCCCCCGGCTCCCTCCCCACACACACACATTGGGATGGCTCTAGTCCTTTAGGTCAGAAAACTCTGATAGTATGGAAAATGAGCTCTCAATAAAAATGTTTCTATTTTGAAGACATTTAAATATTTCCTTGATTTATAATATAGGCATTTATTGAACATTTATTTATTTATAATATAGGCATTTATTCGCTTCTGGAATACAGGAAAATAAAATAGAGGAGCTCATGTTCAAGTAGAAAAGGCAGCCGTAGCCCATTTGGTGCAGCACAGGGGGTGAGTCTAAAAGTGAGTATGGGGCCCAGAGGTGGCATCATCAATATACTTGGGCACATGGAAGAAGGTAGTGTTGAAGAAGGAATAGAAGTTTGTCAGGTAGTCAGGGTGGAAGTATGTTCCTGTTAGAGGGATAGCACAAGATTTGTTTTGCGAGAGAGTTTAGGGTAGCAGGGGTGGAGAAAATGGTCACAGTGAAGTTGATGAGAGACACTGGGGAGAGTTGATGAAGAGTCTTGAGTGTCACACAAAGAGGATGGGGCTCTGACCTGCTCAGGGGCCCTTTAGGATGGGTGGGAAAGCAGAAAGTCGTTAATGAGGTGACAATCGTCCCACTTGCAGGTGCAGCTGAGTTAGACTAGAGCTCCACGTGTCCAACCTGTCACCTGTACATGAGGAACCTGAGGCCAGAGGTCAAGTCACCCAGCAAAAACCCTGACAGAGCAAGGAGAGGACTAGGGATAGGTCATCTGAATCCAATGCTTTAAAATTCCTCCACACCAAGGCCCTCTCACTTAAATGTAGGCTTCTGCTTCAAAGCCTTGCTTTCTACCTATTGGATCCAAATACAAGGACTGCTTCCAGCACCGTTTATGCACTGCATCCTCCCTGCCTTCTGAGCATCATCGGAATAGCCAGCCTCCTGGGAGTGGGGACTCAGCTAGGAGCAAAGAGGGGAATTTTATAAGGAGGAAATGACCCGATTACAACGCCTTGCGGATGCAGAAGCAACATAAAAACCTAAAGCAGATTGAGAAAGGCTTCTTTCTTTCTCTTGTGTTTGCAATCGAGGGTCTGTTTGAAAAGAAGCAATGCGACCAGAAAGTAGCTGCTCCCTGCTCTTCTGAGTGCCCAGAGCCAACTCCCCGCCGTCCCTAGGGCCTAGCAGGAAACACACCAGCCTCAACACATTGCGTGTGTGTGTGTGTGGGTGTGTGTGTGTGTGTGTGTGTGTGTGTGTGTGTGTTTTCAGATTCTAGGTGCTGGGGAACTCGTATCCAGTTGCAACAGACCAGGAGCTGGGTCTGCTCTCACTCAGGGGCCCAGAAGAAGGGCTAGAAGCGGAGCCTCCCCGGGCTGGGTTCCAGCACAGCCTAGGCTTCCCTGCAACCTGGGCGCTTGCCTTCTCTCCTCCCTTAGCAACCGGGAGGCTGTGGATACGGCCCGCGGGTGGGGGCCCGGAGGCTGCGGGTGGCTGGGGCGCAGGGCGGCGGCAGCCCAGGTGCCAGGCGAACGGGCGCCCGCAGTGCGGAGCCCCCAAGAGCGCAGAGCGCGATTGTCAGCAGCCACCCTCCGCACCTGCCGCGGGTCCAAAAAAACCATCCTGCAAAAATGAGCCATTCTCACCCCTCTGGGTAAGTGACAACGGCAGCTTTTTTTAATGCAGCTTTTCCATGCCTGGCTGGTGGCGGCTTCAGGCGGCGGCCCCTCCTATCCCTCCTGCTGCGAGGGAAGGGGCGGAGGGGGGGGGGATGGGGCGAGGAGTACAATAATAGGGATCCTGGGTTGCAGTGAGGACGGCAGAAATCCCAGGCTTAGGTCTCCTCCCTACCCTTTCCTTGCTTCGTTCACGTTCATCCCCTCTAAAATGCTAAAAAGTGGATGTGAGAAACGCATCCATTAAGCAGGGGCCTTAGCTAGGATCCAGGCGACCCTGTGGCGTGGAGCGTGTGTGCTTAACAGCAAACGTGGAGGTCCCCACAATACGCATTCATTGCGAGGCTTGGGAGGGAGACAGACACATTCTCTCTGTGGCCTCTGGCTTACACAGGGAGTGTGAGCTGGCTTGAAGTTGAAGGTGGTTGCATCGTGAGGAGGGCCTCTCCTTTCTGGGGTTCTATCTGCCCTGTCCCCAGAGGAACATCGGGGCCTTTACTGGCATTTTGCCTTTACTGGCATTTTGACCAGAGAAGGTGGTGTGACCCAGGATGTGTGCCTGCATGTTTACAGGTGATCTTCCTCCTCCGAAGACATATTTAGGCAATTATTCAAACCATTCTAGAAAGTTAGCAAGGTCATTATTGGCTATTGCCCCACCCCCCCAATCTTGATCCTTTTAGTGGAAGAGTGAATATGCAATTTCTGAATTAAGCAATTATAATGCATAATAAAAAAAATTTATTATGATACATCTAGTGAGTAGGTAATAATCCGGTTGATCTTGCAACTAATGTGAAGATGTTTTCCTTTTTAACTGGATTTATCGCACGTTTTCAAGAGCAGCAAATTAGCAGAGGACAACATATTGAAGATCATTTGGAGTTTGTGATGTCTAAAATGCCGCTTTCGTCTTTGTGCTTGGGATTTAGAGTCAAACTTAAAGATTTAATTTTTTAAATGAATTTTTTGAGTGTAATGACATAAACACAAATGTTTGAAAAGACTAAAGGCACACAAGGTGCCATGGTTGGAAGTCAGTTTTAGAACTTTCTGGAAAGTGATGTAGCTATGACCAGACAAAGTTCTTTTCTCAAATTGAATTTCAATTTCGTCGAGGTGCTTCAGCGCTTTGATGCTGAACTCCCATGCTGTTTCAGTTAGCCATGGACCATGCAGGATGTGGATGGAACTGGTTTTCTGCAGCGGCTGTTTGCAGTATGTCCACATTCAGGAAAATGAATGTGTCAGTCATGGTTGTCTTCCTACGTTTTTCAAGTTTTTAGCTAAGTTAGAATCTGATTAGACCATTTAATCATCTGTCTTAAAATGTGGAAAAACCTGTAACTGCTTATTAAATTGTGCATGATTAAGATTTCAGAAACGGAAGTGAAAATTTTCCATAGGTCTATTAGTTTCAAGTGCATGGGAAAAAGGACAAGTTTGTGATCCAGTGAAAGAGTGTGCTTCACAATACTCTTCAAGAAATATATTAAGATGTCAACAATACTTTTGCACTAAAATTGGAAGCTCCTGGAGTGCAGGCACCATTTCTCATCAGTCTTTGTGCCCCCTTTACCTAGGACAAATGGGCTGCATAAAGGAAAGCTCAACGAATGTTTGTTGAATGAATGGCATCATCAGACAGAACATCCGGTCTAGAGGTGGATGTATTCCCATGGGAAAACCATATTAGAGCTTAACATTTATCAAGTGCTTATCATGCACCAGACTCTAGTCTAATGTTTTACAGGAAATACCTCTATTAATCTTTGCATCTATTCCATAAGGCGGTTCTAGTCACCCTTATTTTTACAGGTTAGGAAAGCAAGGACTGGGAACTTTCTAAAGACTGCACAGGAAAGCAGGTACAGGGCTGGCACGCAAAGCCACGTAGTCCAGCCTCAGAGCCCCTGGGCTTACACCATCATGCTACATTATCTCTCCTGGCCAACAGCTAAAGTTTGTGGAAACCCTAAATATATATAGCAATTCTTATCCAGATCAGACTGGCATCTTACAGGTGGTAGCTGCACACAAATATCTATAGTCCTTTAATATACGATTAGGAGATGATTTTGTTATAGTGTGGATAAGCACATATATATTTTGGTTTCGGATCATAAAAAATAAATGAAAATAATAAACATTACAACTCTAAATATCTTACAATCCACCCAAGAACAAAATTATTCAGATTGCTGAAGTTTCTCCCTCAATGTAAGTAGTGATTATTTTTTCTTGCCTGTGCTGCCATTTGGAAATAATAAAACTTTCAGTAGCAAGTAAAAGGTTTCATTAAAGCCGAGAAAGCTTTTCCATCATTACTGAAGCAGTTTGTACTTATTACATGTGAAGGATAAAGTGGTAATAAAGTGCAGTTGTACAATAAAACAGAAATTTTAAATCCCTAAAATTCCACCGATCAATAAGTGACACCCTGATACTTTCTCTGGGGGCTTCCTTTCGAGTTCCGCTGCTTACTTAATTACAGCAGGAGACACTTGAGGTACAAATTGCAAAGGGCTTGTGCTGACTTGGTGCAGATAGAGTTTGGAGTCAATAAAAGTAGTCTTAAAAACTTCTGCCACAGATTATAATAAAGACTGAATCTGAGCTGCATTTCAATTTGGGGGATGTTAAGTAGAAAGCGCCATTTCTGGCATTGCCATCTCCAATGAAATCCTCTTAGAGTGGAGAATCTCAGTTGTCTCTCTGGTTTGCTACATCTCACCCTAAGTTGCCATTTGTTTGTAGGTTGTGCACTAATCTTAGAGTTGGAATGGCGATTTTATATCCCTCAGTCATTCATGACAATAACATGATAATGCTCTCTTGGCTCCTTCTAAGGATCATCTCTGAATCCTTGGATCTTTTAAGTAGAAAGAGTCACATTTGTATGCAAATTTGCCTTGAGGAACTGGGAGAATGGGGAATATTATCATATACCAGGATAAGATAAAAATGCACAAAATGTTGTGTGTTTGGAAAGATTCTGCCAAGACTTGGAAACATTTTCGTTGTTGTTTAAACTTATTAATTCACACTTTAAAAAAAAATGTAAGTGTTTCTGTAGTGACAATATACTGAAGTGTGGTATAGAATTAACACATCCTTGGCACTCTCTGATAACTCAGCCCTGCATCAAAAGCAAAGTAAAAACTACTCTAAGTAAAATTGTTCACTTTTAAATAGTAGATATGTATATCCAAAAATGACTCCCCCCAAAATCACAAATCTGCTACGTTATTCAGCGGGAGCATTCATTGCACTTTGTCTCTACTTTCTTCATTAGCGAACAATGTAATGCTTTGTATTTTGTAGTCACATTTTAGTCTGTTGCTCATCACCCACTCCGGCTACCAAAGTAAATCACACAGAATTTCAGGTGTGAAGTCATTATGTATTTGATTTCCAATTGGGTAGTCCCTAATTAACCTCCTGTTAAATATTAGCAACTTAACTTCTAGAAGTAAATTGTTTCTGGTTAAATAAAGTGAATTGAATGTGCTCATTTTTTTTTTTACTTCCTCTCTTATTTTGTTAGAGATTCTTCTCTTTTGTTTTTATAGATGGAATGTCTTCTCTTAGTCCTTTGCTTAGCAAACCTATTCATATAAGTAGGTGGAAATGAAAAGGGATTTGTTATACAATGTCACTCAGATCCTTGAATTCCTTCAAAGTTATATGACAAAAATCACATAGGGATCTATCACTGAAAATTGTTTTTAAAGATCTTTCAAATGACAACTCAGTTAGGTCTTCCTTCAGTTATGTTGAAAGCAAAGGATTGGAAACAAAGGATTGCAATCCTTCTTGTTGCCCAGTAATGAAAAGCCATTTGTTGTATCATCATGTATATAATACTTCAAGTTGTCCTTTTGTAGATGTTTTTCTAAGTTTGGTGCACTCTAATAAGACATTACCAGATGGTGAAATATGTACCGTTCTGTTGTAAAAACCAAAAGATAAAAAGGAAAGATAAGTCTTTATGATTGGAAGTGCATTGTTCAGGTAGATCAGCTTTAGGAGCAAATGGAGGAAACTTGAGGCTCTAAACTTGATTCCCTTAAAACTGTTCTTGCCTGGGAAAGACTTTGGGTATCCCCAGAAGTGTGCATATTCCAATTAGCAAATGTCCAATTTAGAGAAAGGTGCTGTCAGATGCAGTCTCCTATAGCATTCTTTCTTTCTCTTAGTCTTTTTTTTTTCTTTTTGTCCATTGAGGCATTTCATTTGGACAAATGTATAACATCCTTAGAAAAAGAATCCCAGGATTTTTTTCTCCCGTATGTTCTTGTCTTGGATCTTCATGGTTCATGATGCTCGCTTAGGTTGTTAAGGCATTGCTAACTGGGAAGAGAAGTGGAAACTTCTCCAACTTATTCTAGTTGTTAATAACTAGAGGCTTGGTGCATGAATTCGTGCATGGGTGGGGTCCCGAGGAGGGTGAGGGGGTAGCTAGGATGTGATCAGCCCTCCAGGCAGTTGGTGGGACGCCCTTGCTGGCCCAGGATCCAGATCTGTCCAGGTTGTTGGGAGCCACCTGGAGGCCACTTTTATACTGTTTTTTCTTTGAGGAGTGTTTAGGGAGGGGAAGCACAAGTGGGCCCAAGGTCAACTTTCAGGAGTCCAGTGGCACTGTCAGGATCATGCTGGCAGTCCTGGTCCATTGGTGCCTGACCTATTCTCTGGAGATTGGACCTGCAGGACTACTGAGGGAGGGAGTGGCTGCTACTGGGCTGGTTGGCCTCAGGGACAGGTCTGTCAGCTGAGCAGCACTCCTGCTGTGGGAGCGCACATACCACCAGGGGGCAGCTCCTGCATTGAGTGTCTGCCCCTTGGTGGTCAGTGCATGCTACTGGCCGACCAGTCATTCTGGTCATTTTGTAGTTCAGTCGCTTCGGTTTTTATATATATATAGATTACTTTTTCTTTCAGAGTTTAAGAAAATAATACTTCTCTGACTCAATTTTTA